AAAAAAATACTTTTTATATAATCAAATTGATCCAGCAGTATCTCAAGATATGAGTAAGATACGTAACAAAATACAATTAAAATATTGGAGCAGCAAAAAACATGAGACGAAGATAACAGGCTATACGCAATGTATGAATAATAATGTTCGTGTGCAAAATGTGTACTATACTGGTAAATGCATATTATTATAAAATAGTCAAATAATATCTTTCATTTCTCTCCATTGAACGGCCACCCTTTATAACGCCGAAAAATGTTCAGTCCCTTAAGTGTCGTTATATAGAGCTTACACTGTATATTTTTTTAGAAACCCGGAATTGTTTTTATAAAGTTGATAATCAATACAGCTGCCTGTTTTTGAGTCGTTTGTTTATTTTTTTTATGGCGATTCCTGTCCCACTCTCCTTTTAATGCAAGGAAAATTTAACAATTACAACGTACCCCTTAACTAATAAATAATATTAAATAGTACTTGTTACTGAATTTTAATGGTGTTGGTACTGTTGGTGCACTTGTACAGATGCAGACTTCGCTTATATGGTATACCTAAGTGGAGATGATAAATTAGATGGTGTAGAATTACCGAAGGCATTGCGTGCTTTAAATTTTAATCCGAGTCTTGATTGGTGTGTGAAAAATGGCGGAGCAGAGAAAAAAGGTAAAACTATTATTAATAATAGAAAACCGAGTATCTATATAATATAAAAAATGGTAAAAACTATACATACCTGTCGATATCTCTTTATATTTGCCTGTAACTACAGTGGATTTCGGATATAACGACGAAATTACAGTGGTCCCTTCGTCGTCGTTATATCCGAAATCCACTGTAGTTACAAGAACCAATGCGTCGCAATAAAGAGAAGTAATGTTCTTTAACAATACAAAGAACTAATTATTATTGTTTATAGAGGGTTAGTAGAGAAGATGCTTTTAATCTTTAATCTTAAACAACTCACTTATCTCATAAATTACCCTTTATCAACACAAGTTTAAGTATGACTTTACCTCATCTAAGATCCTTTTATTATTGTGAATTCTGAATAAGTTAAGGTTTTAGGTGATACCTATCGTCTGAAAATCCCTTAAGAATAAGTGACTTTTCACTTAGCTTTAAAGAACGAAAGTAAAAGAATAATAAATCCAGTGGTGTTTCTGGTAATACCATACCTCTGTTGCCTGATTCAAAAATCAATGGAAAAATTATGTCTTGTAATATTTTTATACTTTCTGCGGACCTTTTAGTTTATTGTAATAGATTTATTATCGATTTAAATTTTCCAAATCGGCAAATGGCGTAAAGTCAAGGCAAGATGATCGAATTCCTAGATAATTCAAATCGATAATGTAATTTGGAATTCAATTCTCCTTAAGTACAATCAATATTTATTGTAGGACAAAAGTTTATAACATTGGACGAATTTTACAAAATAGTAGTTGAATGCAAGAAAGACAAGAAAGATCAAGGAGTATACGAAGACTTTATTGAATGTTTAAAATTATACGATAAAGCCGATGATGGTAGAATGATGGCAAGTGAATTATCTCATGCGCTTGGTTCACTTGGTAAGATAATTGTGACAAAGAGTTTGATGTTGCTACTAAAACAGTGATTGTCTTTATAGGTACCTTTAATATTCGTTTTTCTGGTACTCATCCTGACCTCTTCTTAATCATGTGCTACCTACCACCCCAAATTTATTTATTTATTTAGTTTATTTTTATAAAAATAGCGTTTTTGGAATAAAAAAAGTATATAACCACCAATCTTTCGTAAATACTAAGCCTGTATTTTGTATTGAAACGTCTCTCTTTACAGGCGAAAGAATGAAGAACGAGGAAGTGGACGAAGTTCTTGATGACTGCCTGGATGAAGAAGATGACGAAGGCATGATACCATACACACGTAAGTGTTTCTATTCATTTCTTTAGAATAAGGGAACAAACCTAATAATAAATAGGCGAAAACTAACAAAAGAACAAATTTCTCTTTGCTATTATCGCCGACTATAGTAGAGGTAATTTAGAATGACATGAACCGTGGCTTTGGTGCAGCGTTCGCTGATTTCTACATTTCTACTTGGTCATCACATTTTATAGTTTATCTAGTCAATGATTTTTAAATTCATAAAATGAATGGAATAGGAGTCTTATCTCACAGAACTTAAAGTCCATGTCAATCTAAACTACCTATAGTTATTGATTTTTGAACTATACCTGCTTTATAATAACTGAAAAGTAATCGATAACTATTGATGTTAAGTTTGTTCTTTTATAGTAGTTATAGAATTCTTATCGGCAGGCGATTTACCAAAGTTTACTATCTTTTTAGCATTTCTTGCAAGAATGTGTGGAAAACAGCCCCCACTTAAGGTTGCTAAGAAATGATATAATCTAAAATGCATTAAATGCCGTATATCTATTACGGACCTGTTGTTTATTTAAAAAAAATTACAGTCTAGTTTTCAAAATGGATTTTATTTCACATCTAACAAGGAAAGGAATTCCAAGTAAACTTACTAGAAATTAAACTAAATAAATAAAATTTCTTCTATCAAAAACGCTAATACTTTTACAATAAGTTGTAAGGTATTCTCAATAATAGGTCAATTATGGTTGTGGTAAGGAAAATTTGAGATGAAAATTAAGAAAACGTTTTCAAAATAACTTTATTATAATTAAATTAAATATTAATACGGTTACCACGATTTGTTCCAATTGAGTGGATAAAATTTACAATAAAACGAAATTGAATGATTTACATTTAGTTGTTTATTAAGTTGGCAGGTTGTGCTGTGTTTGTAGTCATTACAAGTAACGACCTAAATTGCCTTTTGCGACGATGGCATACTTAGGATGAATTTGCTTCATTTACGTACTTCTTCTTGAGTTTAGTGATAACACGACCACTCAAAAAGGCTGAAACACAAAAAAATGTACATCAATGTCGATCTAATATCTAAATTCGACTTAGTTTTCCATTCGCACGCAAAGTAATTTAGAGCACCAATTTTAGTCGCGAAATCATTTGAAAACTCCAATTTTGGCTTTTAAAAAATTCGATAATAATTTCATGTCAAAATCATTTAGAAGCTACCTTGAAGCAGTAGGCAATTTTGACTTTCAGACTATTAGAAAATTTATTTGTGGAAAATTAATTTTGACATACAATCATCCAACAAACTAATTAATAGAATTCCTTTTTTTGCTTTCAAATAATCTGAAAATCTTTATTAGGTACATTTTTAATTATAATTACTTACAGAATAAAATTAGTGTAGATAAATTGTTTATGCCATGAGGTTCTTGAGGAAAGCTAGAAAGAAAAATATCGAAGTATGTAATGTTGTTTAATAGCAAAATATATTAAAACTACTTACGAGCATATGGAATAAATCCATCATCGTCTTCTTTGTCCATACAGTCTTTAAGGATTTGGTCACATTCAGCGTCTGTTAACCTTTCGCCTATAGGAAACAAAAAGGATTATTACAAAGTTTTGCTTTTTGTTTTGGAAATCAAATTTTTGTAACGAAATATTATAAACACTTACCAAGGGAAAGAAGCGTGTGTGCAAGTTCAGCAGCCATCATCTTACCATTTTCTTCTTTGTCGTACAATTTCAGACATTCCAAGAAATCCTCGTAGGTGCCTTGTTCTTTTTCTTTTTTAACTTGACCGTAAATGGGTAAGAATTCTTCTACTTTGAGTTTCTTCTCACCTGGAAAACAACAGACCCTTTACTTTCAACACAATAGCTTCAACGAAAAGTTCTTTATATGAGTGTAAACCAATTTTTATTTTTAAAACAAAGGCTAACAACAGCTGCAGCTGTTTTAAGTAATATCAAAGAGGATTTTTCCTTTTCTCAATATTCTGGGTTTATAGTCGTAGTTCAGGATTACTTCTTCTCCTTATCTAACGTTTCTCAGGAAGCGTAGCAAGAACGTGAAGACCTTCGCTGCGATTGTACTGATACTCAGTCCTTTCCTGGGTAGCACTGAGATTTAGTCCTTCGCTGCGGTTACAGTGAGACGCAGCCCTTAGCTACGGTCGAACTGAGACGCAGTCCTTCGCTACGGTCGAACTGAGACGCAGCCCTTAGCTACGGTCGAACTGAGACGCAGTCCTTCGCTACGGTCGAACTGAGACGCAGTCCTTAGCTACGGTCGAACTGAGACGCAGTCCTNTTTGCAAATCCCTGACCCAAATCATTAATTAGACATATATTTGGATAATCCGTTATCACCTGAACGTTCTTAATCAGAAGTAGTTGTAAACTTGCCAAAAAGTGCGTGCTTATCTCCGACTTTATTTTTAATTAAATATTTGGTACATTGGGCCAACTTTTATGCTATGTCACTCAAGTAATTAATAGCATATGCAGTAGATGTAGACTGGGCTTAACTATTTATATTTTTTTATTGCACAAAGAGATGCACCTTGTTCTTTACTTTCATCCTTCTTATTATTACGTATGTAGTTATTATAAGTTTGAAACAAAATGCTACAATTTGCTTAGATGTTCATTCTTTTCGGCGTTGAAGAATATTTCTATTATCCTTTACTTCAACACAACTATAATTTATTTAAACATTTGTCATCCTTTTTGTTTTAAACTGTGAGTATTGTATCAACGGCTTTGATTTTTTTGCAGGCTTCTGAACTTAAAGAGAGTGAAATTGAGGGTACGTGTGAATCTAATACATACTGAAAAAAATACATGCATGCATTAATTGTTTACTTGCATGTACAAAACCAAAATTAGAAGTCCAAAAATAATCTAGCTCATTAAGGAAATTAAATTGATTTAGATCGGTAAAATTCGATAGAGTATGTGAAGGTGCTACATGTAAACACAGGTGACACTTGTTAATTTTCAGTCAAACATGTTTACATCTGTGGAAATTTGTAATTTCTTTAAAATTATTATTAGTGCATCTTCAAAATTAGGGACAAAGTTGTGCATCAAAATTTATATGAAATTAATTAAATTAAATGAAAAATAGATAGAGGTACCTAAATAAAAATATTTTCACAGGAATTTTTGAAATTGACTTAAAAATAAGTACTTAGAAAATTTATGAATTTTTGAAAAAACAAGATTTTCAAATTTCATTTTTACGGGTCAATTTAATCTAGCGAATCGGTTTAAGAAATTAAAATAATTATCCAAATGCATTTCTGTATGCTGCATATTAATTACAGTGCAAACTCTTTATAACGTCACTCGATTTAACGACAAACTCCTTAAAAC